TATATATATATTCTCTTTTATGTTCATTTCTCTATTCTGTGTGGTAATGTTTTATTGTGCAATGGTTAGGCAGGTCGTTACAATTATCACGGACGACTTATTAGTTTACTACTATTATAAAATGATTTGATTTATTTTTATAGTTATTTGAAATTAATACACATATATAGAATCAGATCATAAACAAATAAACGAGTCTATATACATGTCTTAATTTCATCTCATTTACTAATTCAGCTTAATTTTTAACTCAACTAAAATTAATAAATTATCTGACACTGATTCCGCCGTGAATTCTCACAGAAAAAGATGACAATTCTGAAAATGTTAATCCTGTGTCTGTCAGACGGGAACATATTAAATCTAGTTATATTGTTATTTGACTAGCAATTTCCTTAATTTAAAAGAGAATAAGTCAAAGATAAAAGCACCATATTTAAATTCTCAAAAAAAAAATATTATGTTTCTTACCCTGTCTGATCCCAGTAATTCTTCGTAAAAGATTTTCCATGCTCAATTGGTTGTCTTGGCATTTACATATCTAATAAGTATCTCATCTAATAAGTATCTAATAAGTATCTAACTTCTAGGTCTTCGAACCTTTCTCATCTAATAAGTATCTCATATTATCATATGGTACAACAAACTAGGGAAACCAAAATGCTCTGAATTCATTAGCCGATGCATCCTTAAAATTCCTTTGTTGTTTTGGGAAAGTGTTAATTAGTTGTTAGGTTTTATAATCACTTCCAACAGCATACCCTAAAGAGCACAAGCTTTCTTAAAAGCTTGCATCCATACTGACCCCAAATTATGGTTTCTCCTCTCAAGGATAAGGATGGAGATATTGGTACTTATAAATGTAATGATATCAAGTACAACACAATTTCATATTAGTATATGGAAACATATCAAGTATAGGATACACTTTTAACAACATAAAATAATATTAACACTTTTTCTTCAGCCATTCAAATCAAAGCAAACAATTTACAATTGAAAAACACTGGACAGAAATGAAGGCAACCATGCACAACAAGAAGAAAAGTATGTATCGATCCGTTATACAATCCAAGAATTTACAAGCAACACTTTTTAAAGCTTTTTTGTGTAATAGGGCACCATCTATTATAAATCTTCTGCACCAGACTGGAATCCTTAGTGGGAATACTCTCTGTCAGCAATAACAATAAAGTAAGTAAAATATGTACATGTTGCTATATTTTTTTCAACCAGATAATAAGAACTAAATCACTCTACCTCTTGCGCTTGGACTTCAAAGAGGTGACCGATTGAGAGTTGCTATGCCAGTTGCGTTTCCTTTGGTTGATGAACCAGTTATTGATTTGCTTCAGCTGCAACCCTGTCTCCTCCACAAGTTTTGCCTTGTCATCTTCCTGAAAGAACAACAAAAGTAGAGACACTATGATTTTTTTGCACTGTATATTTAGTATTAGTGACTAGCAATTATGAAGCATATAATTTAGCTTAATTTTAAGTTGTAAACTCTTCACAACTTAATTTTATCAATCTTGTTAACTTACAAGAACCATGGTTTTATGTATATATATATATATATATATATATATGTGTAATGTATTGCTTACAGTTGGGTAGGGCCACTTAGCATGTTGTTGCCACCAGGCCTTTAAAACCGATGTTGTGTCACCTGGTAATTTCCCAGCTCTTCGTTTTCTTAATATTTCCTCCCTAACATCTTCAATTCTTGACTTAAAACCCTGTGAATATTAAATTTGGTTTGTGAATCAAAGACAGAAAAAAGAAAGAGTGAATAACATGCATATTGATTATTGACATTTAGGAGTGACCTGTTTGAGTTCAATCTTAAGTTCCTGACGAACTCTTTCCATGAGTGACCTTTCAGATTCAGTAGGAAGTAATGGACCAAATCCCATCATGTCCTGCCCATCAGCGCTACACTGATCTAAAGATCCATCCATCTGAAAATCATCTTCATCATCTGACATTGTTGCACCTGTTCCTTCTCCCAAACTCACTCCTGAATTACAAATAGTGAATCTGATAGGTTGAATTTGAACAAGTTGGAAGTAAAATATGTCTTTCATTTTTAGTTTTAGTTAACAAGATTTGAGCATACATACATGTATCATGAGCATTAACTAGTTGAATTTTAAGGATGAATTACTCAGGTAACTAAACTATATACCAAAGATCAAGATTTGTTAATTATTTCCCTTAATTTTTTTTTCTTTTTATTACAAATTGAACCGCATAGATTTGTCCATGCATTGATTCATTTTACTTCCTTCTTTTCTTTTAGATGTATTTGTTAAAAAGTTTGTCCATACTGCCAAAAAAAAAAGTGAAAGGTGTGAAAGTTACAATACGGTTGTTGTAGAGTTTGCATTTTATTAAGGAGCAAAACAGTTTTGGAAAAATAATATTTTTTGTTTAAATTAATAAATTAAAATTATTGAATTATCCTGTATTAAAAGGAGGGAACAATTATCCTAATAAATAAAGGATAAAAACGTTTAAAAATGTATAAATTAAAACACCGTATCACTTTTATATATTGTTAAAGATTAAAACTATATAATATAATTATAATTAATAATAAATAAGTCTAACTCCAATTTTCTATGCAAATTAATTATAGATGTGAAAATCGGACAATATGATCTTATTAATCTCATACTTTATTTAAATCATAAATACTCTTTCTTTTTTTTAAATGTTAGCAGCATACTTTTTTTAATACATTGTATATTATTTGATTTGACCAAATTTGTTAGAAAATCACAAAATTGTGTGGATGTAATCTTTATTTATTTATTTATTGGATAGTTTTATTTTTTATTTAATGAACATTATTTATAATTTTATAATTTTCAATAATTTTTAATTAATTTTAAAAAGTATATTAAAAAGAATGTATTAAAAAGTATATTAATAACACTCTTATTCATTTTCTAAGGTTTAATACATTAGAAGGTTATTGAATTTTTTATGAATTCTTAATTAAGTTCATAAATAAAAAAGTTATAATCAGGTCATTGATCTTCTACAATTTTTGTAATTTGGTCCCCGAAATTTCTTTAACTACTTTTTTTTATTTAATGTGTTTAAACTCTAACAAAAAAAAAAAGCTTCTTAAAAAAACATTTTTTTCAAAAAAGTAAATAGAATTGTACTTCCTAATAAATAAAAAAAAAAAAAATTGCTAATTTTATTAAAAAAAACACTGACAAAAAAGAAGTTTAAACGGACCCTTCTTCCTGTTCAGCCAGTAAATAGATTGATGAATGATGATGATCCTTGTACCGCTGTACATACTATTTATCTCTTCTCGCTGCAAATTAAATTGAATTTTTTCAAAGGATACAAATTTTTCTATTACTAGTATTTTAGCATACTAACATGTGTAATTCCCGAACTAAATATTTATTATATGTAATTAAAATTTATAATGAATTATATTTAAAAATAAATATTATATTTAAATATATAAATATATTTAAAATTTATATAAATATTATTTTATTTTATATTTAATATTTTTGATAATAATTTATATTATAATACAATATTATTTTATTTATTAATAATTTATTTTAAAAATAGTAAAATTTAATTCATAAATAATCATAATAAATAAAAATCAAATTATATAAGAAATTAAAAAAATTCTTTAAAGCTCTCTTATTAAAATAAAAAAAAATTTTAAAAATGCTCTTATGTAAAATAGAAGTTTATGTTAAATATATAAAAGTTGATATGCTTGCAAATCTACAATATTAAATATATATATATATATATATTAAAATCAAATTATTTTTTCATTTTATCATTACTTTAATTTTTAATTCTTTATATTTTTCTCTTAATTTAATCTTTAATTCATTACTTTATATTTTTAATTTAATTCTTTAATTTTTAATCTGATTTTTTTGGTCATATACTCATTATTAATTTCAGTGATAAAAAGAAAATTAAAATTAAGTTAAAATTAAAACTATAAAACTAAAATATTTAAATGCCCTTTTAGTCCTTATAAATTTATGAATTTTTTTTTTATCTCTATAGTTAAAAAATATTTCATTTTAGTTTCTATACATATCAATTTTACAAATATTTTAGTCTTTATCATCAATTGTTTTACAATTTTGTTTTAGTCATTTTAGTATAGGGACTAAAGGTAATAAAAGTAGTAAGTATAACTACTAAAATGAAATATTCTTTTAATTAAATAGACTAAAAGATAAAATTTAAGAAATTATAGCAAATGAAAGATTATTTAAACATTAAAAATAAGGATAAAATAAACTAAAACTTAAATGATTATTACACAATCAAAAGTGTTATATATTAATTTAACATTTGCAATTATTCACAATAATCTTTCTACCATTATTTGAATGCAAAATTTGTTAATGTTCCCTTGTAAATTTGTAATTTAACTCCCACTGCAAATACAAAAGATACGTACTCAAGAAAGGATTTAACTTAACATAAAAAAATTATCTACATAAAGTATAATTTTTTTTTATTAATGTAACTCGTGACATTATTAGTGCGTTTAACAACTACATGTGTCAAAAAAGACCTAGTCTGATGGGCTTATCTAGACTCTGAAAAAAGTGAGACTCATGATATATACACCTCCTTGTTTTAATAAGTATACCTCCTTTAAGTTTTTAAAAAAAATTATAAAATATTAGTTTTTTTTTCTAACTTCTAAGTGCCTGTTTGGATACGCGTTGAATTGATTCAACGTGCGTATTTTCGTGCAAAAACGTGATTCCTCATGTAGAAAGGATGTTTGGATTTTTTTTCATCACATGATTTTAAGGGTGAAAATTGATTTTGGTTGAAGCTGAAAAATATAGCTTCTGCGTCCAGAAAATTGATTTTGATAAATCAATTCTTCAAACGCAAATCCAAACACACACTAATTTTATATCTTTAACTTTTAATTTGTTACTTTCTTCTTTTCTTCACATACTTTTTTTTCTTTTTTAGTTTTTACATGCTACCAAAATAGGTGAGGTGAAGGAAAAGTAAGGGGGTGCATGTAAAAATTAAAAAAAAAAAAAGAGATAAAATATGAAGAAAAAAATATTAAATTAAATATTGTGGATGTAAAATTAAAAAATACAAAATGCAAAATTAAAAAAATTAAGAATATTTTAAATTTTAATTATTTTTTAAAAAAAAAAGAGGTATACTTATAAAAAAAAGGAGGTGTATATATCATAAACCAAAAAGTGATCTGGAAAAGAATTTGATCACTTCGACTTGATCTGGAGCCTATTGGGCCTTTTTGGACTTTTTTTGTTTTTGTTTTTTGTATGTGACAATACATGTTTAAGTCTTACTTGACTCATTTTCTTAGGGACCACAAATTTTGTGTTCCAACTAGGCCAATTTATTTGATATTCTATTTACCCTAAATAACTAAATATGTTTTTTTTTATATCATTTTACATTTATCAAGTAAGATGTTAATTAATTATATAAAATATATTCAATTTAATTATAAAAAAATATAGATTTTGAATTTCTAATTCATATCTAATAAGCTTACAATTGGCTTAAACTAGTTTTAAGAAAGATATGTTAGATAAGAAATTTTAGAGGATAAGATACAACGGTTGGATTTGGAAAGAAAAGTGTATTGAGTTACGGCATCTAAGGTTGTTGCGAATGGCATGACATGGTGGGCGAGACTATCACCCTCCACCAAACTAACCCACTCTTTATATACCTATTGTGTATAGTTTAGACTTTAGACAACGTTAGTAACAACACTAGCACTCCCATTTCGCCAAAACCCACCCAGAAAAACACATTGGATAATGCTATCCCACAATACACAGCATCTTTCCTTTCTCTCAATTCGCTTTCAAGACAAGAAAGAAATAACCAAAAGAAACCGCACCTCATACCACAAATAGCTCATATACCTAACCATTTTACTTGCTTTTAATTAATACATGAAGCTACTCATCCCTGCTGATTAAAGCGAATAAATAAAATCGGAGAAGAAATTATTGGTAAAAAAAAAATATATATATATATATATTAACCGCAGAAAGCAACGAAAGAGTAGTGTGCGGTACCTGTCAGAGCTTGGAAGGTACTTTCAATGTCACGGCAGGCCATGACAGCCTCCACGGCATGCACTCTGACATGTTGCTGAAGCTGTTCTTTGAAGGAACACAAGACAATCAAATATTGTGTCTGCAGCATCAGTTAAGATGGATCCGTGAAGGAAGGTAAAATTAAAATGAAATTAGTTTTTATGAAGTGAAGAAAGGAGAAAAAAGATGTACCATGAAGTTGTCAAGTTGTTGTCGGTCATGAGGAGAGAGGGAGTGGGAATGGAGGGAGGCGTAGGAGCGTAGGAGATGGTGGGACTGCGATAACTGAGCGTCGATGAGTGGTAACTGATCGATGGGTGTGGCGACGCGGAGGCATGAGACGTGTGCAGCGAGAAGCTGGTCGTAAAGTGGGTGGGTGGCTATCTCCGCCTTCACTTGACGGTGGTGGTGGTCCGACAGTTCTCCACCCATCATTCCCAAGGCTGCTGCTTCTTGCATTTCCGGCGAGTGAAGAGAGGAAAGCAGGGAAATTGAGACTTGTTATTTAAGGGAAAAGGTGAGGTTCAGGAATCAGGACCACTCTCTCTCTCTCTCTCTCAATGGAGGACCTGACACTTGTATCTCTCGTTTTCGCCGTCCTCTCACATAGGAACAACGATTTTACATAAACGGGGAAAGAGGGGAAGCCAAGACCATTGAAAATTATTTATGTGCTTGTGGGGAGAGCCGAGCCTATATAACTAATTTAATATTACAAAATTACTTTATAAAATAATAAATTATTTTACACACCTACTTCGCTATTTTACACACCTCCAAAACACATTCAAATTCTCATTTCTCTACTTAAATTTCTTGCCACTTCTACTTTTTAGCTTTATTCAAACAATCTTGTTATATTTTAAGGGCTTGTATATATACAGTAGATAAGTCTTTAAAGTCAATGTCATTACATGTCACAAGAAAAATTTTGTTAATGTTTTGTTTAGTATTTCAAGTCGTCTTGCTTGCTCTTCTGTCATTTTTGCTACAAGATTCAACGACTATGTTCCAGTTCAAAATATTCATTGATCTCGCAAGTTACATTGTATGGATATAAATCTCTTATTTCTTGTTATAATCCTACAAATTACATTGTATCATTATTGTTAGATCTAAAAATGATCTTGTGTCATTTAAGGTACAAGTTTTAATGATAAAAAATTTAATCATTTTTCAAGAGAAATTTTTTTAAGATCAAACTATAAGACTAATTGTGATAGACAATTGGTTATATTCACATTAAGTCTCTTAGACAAACTACTTTGTTTGTAAGGCAAAGGCATTTAATAGATATCATTTATGATATCTGATAACCATACTATATTTATTTATGTTATTTTTTAACAAATCGAAAGGAATAAAAAAACTTTTTTGATACTACAAAAAGGAACATAAACATGCATGTTTTACCTTAGAGAAAGGACAAGCAAATCTTTCAAAACATGCGAAGTTAGAAAAAGTCATTTCTGATTGACATATACAACAATTCCTTTTGTTTGTTATCTTAAAGGTGATAAGTACCTTCATTAATTAGATAAAAAAAGTGATAATTTTATGAAATACATTTAATATCCACAATTAATGCACCAATAGACACTTTTCTTCATAAGAAACAAAAATTAAGACAAATGAAACAAGTTTGTGAGAAATGCTTAAGGACTTGCAATGTCATCTTCATGAAATACATATATAAGGGAACATCAATTGTAAAAAAAATCTTATTCACTTTTCCTGTAAAAAAAGCCTTTGTACTTAAACTAATTGTATCACGTCTTGATGGTATGACAAAACAACAAAGTGATTTCCCAACTTTAACTGTGTTATTGCTTTGAACTTTAAGAGATTTGACTATAAAAATATTGTGTTTTTTTTTTTATTTAAACTCTTCGTATGCAGTTATAAGGTTTTAGGATACTACTTTATTAAATAAAAAAATGTTGAGTTTTTTATTGACACTATTCAACCCTCTTTCAAGTATCTTTCTTTTCTCCACAATTATTAACATTAACAAGCCTATATACACTACACGGAAAATGATGAATTGCGACGGACAAATTGCGATGGTTATCCTGAAACCGTCGTTGCTTTGATATTGCGACCCTTCATACGACGGTTTCTCCCAAAATCGTCGCAAAATTTTCCAACATTGTGACGGTTTCTCTCAAAACTGTCGCAAAATTTTCAAACATTGCGACGGTTCCTCCTAACCGTCGCAATTTATAAGACAAAAATTGAAATAAAAATTCACATAAAGTCATGCACACTCCAAAATTATATAATTTTACTTTCAATAAAAAATAAAAAATAAAATAATAATGACATATAATTACATTTAGAAATGTTAAAAAGGAAAAAATATTTTAATATACTATATTAATTTTATTTCTTTATCTTTTAAATTATTTTAGAATAAAAAAGTTTGATGTTAATCCTAGGAAGCTAAAAATTAAAAAAATATATATATATTACATTTTTTTTATGTGTTAGTGAAATTAATAATACATCTTAATTGTGGATTAAATCGAGAATATTGAAAAAATAATAAATAATTTATGAAATTTATTATTTTAATAGTTAATTAAATATGAGATATTTGATAAATTAATTATCTTTTCACAAATAAAAAAATAAAAAAAATAAAAAGTTATAAAATTACAACTGAATTTGAGTCTTGTTACACTTATCTTTGTGTGAGAAAAAAGATTTAAAATAATATATTTTAATGTTATAAAAATTAATAATAAATTACATTTAAAAAAAATTGTTATGCATTTAAATTGTAAATCAAGATAAAAAAAATTATAAATTAATAATATATGTATTTTAAGTAAAAAAAATCGTAAGTTGTTATTAATTTCTTTTTTAATATTTTATATCTTTTTTGTATTTTATTTTTACTTTTTTCAATTCTATTCATATTTTGAGATTCCTCTCTACCTCTAACATATTTTAAAGTATAGAGGAGTGAAATTGAAAAATAAAAAATAAAAACAAACAAACTTCTTCATCCATCTCTACTCCTTCATATTTCAATAGATAAACTATATATTTAAAATGATCTTTAGGGTTAGTGTATTTAAAGTTATTATTTTTATATTACTTTATTTGAATTATTTTTTATTTTCAATGAGAAATTCAGTATTTTAATTTTTATTTACTCATTCTATTTTTATATTTAGAAGAAACATTGTATGTTATGAACATTACATTAATTAAAATTATATTGCTTTTAGTTATAGTAATGAAAAGGTATTTTAAAAGAAAATCATCTTCAGAGCAACCATCTTCTCCTCGAATACATGTTGAAAAAGAAGTCAAATTGGGTCCATCAACCAAAAAGAGAATTTTAGAATGTGATTTGGAAAGACTTCCTGATCTTTGTCTAAGGCCAAAAATTTCAAATTATCATCCAAGTGATAGAGATGAAGTTAGAAGGGATTGATGATCTTCCTATGAAGCTTGTGAAGACAAGAAAATATGTTGTATATCCATTGGTGTATTTGCTTTTAAAGCTAGCCTTGATACTACTAGTGACAACTGCATCAGTTGAAAGAGTTTTTTCTGCTATGTATATCATCAAGAATCCGATGTGAAATTGTATGAGAGATGAATGATTAAATGATTGTTTAGTTACTTATATATATAGAGAGAGGTTTTTGATAGTATTGAAAATGAGCAAATCATTCAATATTTTCAAACTATAAAAACTCGTAAAAAATAATTATGATATGTATTTGTCTTTATAGAAATTTTATTTATATTTTGACAAATTTATATATTTAAATATTGCCCCCACTACTTAAATTTTCTGAATCCGTCACTGTCTAAAAGTGATAAATTAAGACAATTATATAATATCAATTGCATTTAATATAATGTTTTCACTAACAAGAACACTAATAGGTAGATTTTATGTAATAATGTTTAATAAATTTCTTAACAAAATTTGAATATAAAGACTAAAATAAGATTTTTGAAAATTATAAAGACTAAAAACAACCGTTTTAAATTTAAAAGACCAAAATTAAATTTATCTTAAATTTAATGGACTTTATATTTAAACCTATTAAATATGTATGAGATATAATTATCCATCTATATTACATTATATTGTGATTAGTCTTAATATACACTATATGACAGGTCCACGTAACATATTTTTATCTAAAACAAAATTTGATGTGAAACTTTTAAAAACTAATTAAAGTAATAAAAAAAATTGAGTCTTTATAATAGATAAAATTATTTTTTTACCGGTAATATTCAAACTCTATTTATAAAAAAAAAATACATGCTAATTATTATTATACTAAACGATATAATTTTTTAGGAGGTCTAAAGTAAGGGACTACTTAACTTTATAGTTGGGTTGTATATGGTTAGGTATATTACATAGTATTTTGGTACAAGAAACATAATTATATGTAATACTGTGTTATTTTTTAATTACGTATACTTGTGATATATGTAATTAAGAATTATATTTTTGTTGTTGTTGTTTTAGCTTTTATGGAGTAAAAGTTAGAGTTGAGATAACTCTAAATTTAAGTTATAGAGAATATAGCTTAAATGTGTAAGAGTTGACTCGAAAAAGACTAAAATATATAAAGCGAATTTTGATAAATGAACTTCATAAGTTCATAACTTTAGAATTTTATAGAGAAGTTAGAGAGAAGTGTTTTAGAGCCAACAGAGTTCGATCTTCGACCTAATTCCACCAAAAGATCTATTTTCTCCCCTTGTTTGTTAGTTGATGTGGTATAAACTGATATTCAAGTTGAGGAGTTGAGAATCTTAAAAAGAAGCCGTCGTATGAGAGTTCAAAGTTTTCAAATTTTCTTCCTTTCTTCCTTGTATTTTGAAGCAATTGAGGGAAGGTAAACTTGTTTGATTTTCTAAGTTGTGTATGGTATTTTTGTCGTGTTGACTTATGCTTTGCTAAGCATTGAAGTTGAGATTGAGAATAAAACTTGGTGTTCTTGGTAAAGAATGAAGAAATTGACGATCTTGATGTGTTTAATGGTTGCATGTGACATTTTATTTAGTTTTTGAGTTATATAATTATAATAGATGACTATTCTTGAGTTACATGTATGAATCTTGTGGTTAGATGAGAGAATTTATGGAGTTGCCATGTTGTTCTTGAGTTGTGTTTGTTTTTGGATTTATGCATATTTTTTGGGTTTGATCGCTTAATGCGCTCATGGGAGTTGCTCATAGCAAGGAAATGAGGTTGTTTAGAGTACTCTTTGACTTGGCTTGCTTAGAACGCTCATCATGGATGCTCAAAGTAAATTATAGTAATTTTGAGCTAATTGTTGGGCACTACCAATGAATTTTAGTAGCTTTGAGCTAGTTATTGGGTATTTCGAGTGAATTTTAGTAATTTCGAGCTAGCTGTTGGGTGCTCTAAGTGAATTCCAGTTGCTCTAAGCAAGTTCTAGGGTGCTTGAAGTGCCTGTTTTCCTTTATAAACTTATTGAATTGGTTATTTACATGATGTATGATAAAGATTGAATGTAGTTCATTAAATATTAACCTATGATGATGTATGATGATGATTTAAGTTGCCTAATGTTGTAAGTTGCTTGCTGTTGTAAGTTGTCTAATGTTGTAAGATGCCTACAGTTATAAGTTGAGTTGTATGTTGTATTATTGAGGTAGTTTTGTTGAGAATGATTAGAGCATTATGTTGAGTTATGTTGATTAACTT